GTTAAGTTGGAAAAACTGCCCACCCGCCTGGACCTAAAGTCCAAAGGGGACACCCTGCCTGCCTTCCTGACCTTCGGCATCAAGTGCTCGAGGTTTCACAAGCAGGGTCACCGCAGGGCCAACTGTCTAATGCTCGCCAGGCAAGCATCGCTCTCCTCTCCCACCGATGCCAGGCCACCCGTTGCACCTCAGCAGCCAAGGCAGCCAGCACCTGCGCCCGCAACACCGGCACCCCCTACCCCACCTGTGGAGTCGCCGATTGAGGCTTCCGCGGACACTTGCTCCTCGGCGCCTCAGCCTGCCGGACCGGCGCCTCCTGCCCCGGGGACCCTCGAGCCTGTGACCGCCCCACTCGACATTGAGATGACGGTGGAGGAAGAGAACTCCACATCCTCTACGGCATCACAGAAAAGCGACACCAAGCGCGACCTCGAGAAACTCCTCGAGAGGAAGCTCGGCACCTCATTCACCGAGACCGAACAACTTGGCCTCGACCAGGAAGAGGTCCTACGCCTCCTCGCCTCTAGAACTGCGCTCGGAAAACGGATACCGTCGCTCACACCCGCCCAGGGCAACGCTCTCGCCAAGCTGGTCGAACGTATCTTGGCTTTGAAACCTGGCTCCACCACCAACGTCTACACGAACCTCATGGCGGCCAGGCAGCGGCTTAACGGCAGGCCAAAATGAGTGCGGTCCTGTACCCCAATCTTAGGGAGCGTCTCCTCGCGGAACTATCGCCTGAACACAAGATTTTTCTTGCCAAATTCCTTAACACTGTCATCGAGCATGCTCGGGACAAGGATTCCATAACTCGCAAGGGCCTGTTTGAACTCAAGACGGCTCTAAGCTCCTGACAAGATCCAGACGTCCCCTCGGAGAAAGCCTCGTCTGGTGTATATATCTTTTTTTTTTACTGTTTTAAACTCTGAAACTCTCTCTTGACTCTTTGCTAGATGTCAATAAACTGTTTCTAATTGTCAATTCTCACTTTTAATTTGTCAAAACCTTCTGGAAAGCTACCAGAATAACCTAGACATAAATAGCAATGATCACAAATAATCACTGGTGATGAGACATGGATTTACGCGTATGATCAAAAGACAAAACGCCAGTCAAGTGAATGGGTTGAACGAGGACAACCAAGGCCCAATAAATGGAAAAAAACAAAATCAATGATCAAAACTTTTTTGATTACTTTTTCAATTTTGAAGGTCTTATTCACTTTTAATTCTTAAAGAAGGTTCAACAATAAAACAATAAGTATATTTGGGTATTCTTCATCGTTTGGGTGAAGCGATTAGACTCAAAAGATCTGATTTATGGCAGAAAAATTGGATATTGTTACACGATTTATTTATTTTTATTTATTACAAAAAACACGCTATATCCTATGTGGATATTTGCATGTAAATGTTCAAACTATTTTATGTACATAGTTTTTAAATATATATATACAAATTATTTATAGTTTTAGAGAGAGAGTGAAAGTTATTCAAATTTACATTTTAGAACAATAAATTATACAAGAAACAAAGATTATTTACATACATATCATCAAAAGTCCAATATATATTTAGAATTACAACCACTAAACCAGTGGCACAAATATACTAATTAAAACTAGAAATTTCAATTCTTAATGTAATTCAAGTCCACGGCATTTGAGATAGAGTCTACAAAACTTGTTAAATTTTCTATATTCTCCTTTACTGGAAACCATTTGGCTTAAACTAGAACTGTTCATTTGACATTGTACTCTCAAATCAGCAACAAGTGGGCACCGGATTAAAATATGCTCAGGGTTGTGATCTTCTTGGTCACATAAGCAGATTGAAGAATCAATTCTGCCAATTCTATATAAATATGTGTTAAAGTCTCCATGCCCCGTAAAGAATTGTATATTATAAAAATTTGGCTGGATAAATTTGGGTAATCTTGAGTTTTCAAAAAATTCTCTGAAATTATCATTTGAGTCTTCATAGTATTTTTGAATTTTTTCATTTATAAAGTTAGATATTATCATTCTTTTGGCTGGATCATTTCTATTATAATCTATTTCAACTTTAAGTATGTTTGACATAATGAAATCCGTAATTTTAGGTATTCTTGCGAGAACATGTGTACAATTCGAAGATGTTGTATTATAAGCATGTATACAGTGTTTAAGAATTTTATACTGTAGTGAATCTATTTTGTTTTTTGATCTCGTGTTTATGTATGGGTACCAGATTGTTGAACCATAAGTTATTGTGCTTCTAAATAAGGTCTTATATAATGTTAATAATCGCCTACTATCCAATCCCCACGATTTCTTTGTTAACCCAAGAAGATATCCACTAGCTCTAGTTGTTTTTGCAATAACACTGTCGATGTGAGGCATAAAATCTAATTTGTTCTTGTTTCGGTGATTCTTGAAAGTTAATCCTAGTATTTTTAGGTTTTCAACTGGTTTGACAAGACTATCATGCAGGGTAATTACATACTTTTTGCAGTTGAATAAATATAAAATCTTTGTTTTCTGTCTTGATATTTTAAGTTTGTTGTTTTCACACCACATATTTATTTGTTAAATTATAAATTTGTAGGATGGTTGAAACACGCTCTGGTAAGATGCAAGACCCAGCACAGGAGAGAATCAAGGCTGAAGAGTCTGCCAAGCCGCAACCTGGTGCAACAATATATATTGAAAGAACATAATAGACGCAGCCCTTTGTGGCGTAAAGAGCGACTGTCATTCCATAAAAATAAATCGGTATTATGAACTAGAGCTATATAAATAATTGAAGGAATATTATAGACAAGAAATATAAAATCATACTAGCGGATGTGTACCCGGCTTCGCCCGGGTTTTATCCGAGTGAAAGTTTGCCTAATGAATATTATATATTATGAAGTATAATAAACAATGTTAAAGATTAGTTTTAATTATTAATCAAGATTGTGTGTGAATATGTGAGAAAGATGTAATATCGTTGTTGTTTTCTTGGCCGACTGTTTTACATATGGTGTTATCTTAAAATTGCTTGTTTTGAATATTTTTTTAGATTGAGATTATTAGCTAGTATGTAAAAAAATTAACTCTGTTGATTTTTTTTTGTATTTATATATAAATAAAATTAACTCTGTTGATTTTTTTTGTATTTTATCGATAACAGCAAAGTTATGTATGTTAAAGTTAGGAAAAATATTTTGATGTTAAGCAAAACCTGCTCCATCTCGTTTTACATAAATGTTGAAAATTTGGTCGAAATTGATGCATTGTAACGAAAGTTTTTAGCGAACAACACTTATGAAATTTCCATTTTATTAATATAGATAATTATAATACGAACTTACCTAATTTTAAAATATAAATATAACATTATACAGTTAAACCTGTCTATAGTGCCCCTCTAAATAGCGCCTTCCTCTCTATAGGGAGGGTTTCAAATATTAAAATGTAAACATTTTACATTAAAAGTGACCTGTCTATAGCACCCTATTTTGGTGAGTCCCAAGAGGGGACGCTATAGACAGGTTTAACTGTATATATTTATAGAACATATAGTTGTGGGAAGATTATATTCCAAATATGAATTAGCAAAGGAACCCAGAAAGTTGAACGAAAGGAAAGAACAAATGTCAGTATTTGACGCTGATGCTTTGGCAAAATACAAAAAAATAATAATAATCCAACAAAAAATAAGAAAAGATCAAATATGCGAAATAAACTCTCTCTGAGAGAAAACTGACAAAAACTATAACAAGACTTAGAACAAAACACTATAAAGGAATGACAATACATCCAGATGGCACAAGAGCCTACAGGAGATGTAACAACTGTCCTGGTGTGGAACTAACACCTACCCACATATTCTCATGTCCAGTAATGGCTGCAGTCTTGCAGAAAATTGACATAGACCCAGACCAGCAGCTTTACACACCCAAGATAGTGGACATTACAACTGTTGTGATAGAGATGTATGGAGACATCTGAGGCTCTTCATTGGACACGACAACAACAACAATAGAAAATTGACAGGAACCCAGAGCAGCAGCTTTACACACCCAAGATAGTGGACATTGCTGCTGCTGTGATAGAGATGCATGGAGACATCTGAGGCTCTTCATTGGACACGGCAACAACAACAGAAAATTGACATGCACCCAGAGCAGCAGCTTTACACACCCAAGATAGTGGACATTGCTGTTGCTGTGATAGAGATGTATGGAGACATCTGAGGCTCTTCATTGGACACGACGACAACAACAAGGTGATATTAATATACCAAAAGTGGCACCTCTCCATTTAACCCGCAACTCTATGTTGTATTCTAGCCTGAAAATCGGCCTTGCCACTTTACCAGCTTAAAAACCGTTTAGTCCAATTCGACTGCTTTCATAATCCCTTCTCGTAGGATGTTATGACACCGAAGCCGCCCCTGTACTGATGAGGGCCAAGGCCAAAACCATGGTATATAGGTTTTTGTCTAAATTTGCTAAAACTGGTGTTGAGGAGCAGTCTTTTAACCATCATTACGTTCTTTTCTTCTTCTTTCTTATCTTCATCATGACTGGGTGAAGTAGAATGCATCTGCCTTTGTCATTAAGACTGAGAGCACTACTCAGTGGCAGGCCGACTTAACTCCAAAAGAAATGGCCACCTCTGACATGAGGAACAGACGCCATGTGCAGCCGCTCCTAACATGGAGTACAGACGCTGCTCATCCTGTATCCCTGGATTAGGAGTCCTTACAGGGTACAATCAGCCGGGCCAGCTGAGCCCAGGTTTTTTTTAGCGAGCTTGTTACTGCTCCCCCTCCTCCTTTTTCATCCGGGCTTGGGACCGGCAAAGGCGGAGTTTACTTTACGTTCCGAACAGGGGTGATAAACAAAATCCATTGCTTCAAGGCATTTTAAATACATAAGTTATTTGTTTACTCCCTCTTCCCACGTTTTATCAAAATGTAAATTGATCATTAAACAAAATAGAAAAATTTGCGCAGAACACATGTGGAATTTTCTAAAATAAATGAACCTAAAAGTGTGTCATTATATATTTTAAAAATCGATCCATTCTTGCGTATAAGATTTTTAAAATACAGTCCTGAGTTTGTTTCAGCTCTCGCTTCGGAAACAGCTCTGCTCTCCTGGCCATGGAATCTGCTAAGAAGAAGCGAGTGTGCTATGTCTTCTAAGTTCATGGTGGACATCGAAGCTCTAGTTGAAGAGGACAAAATTATCGTTTCCCGCAACCACGAGATCCTACGCTCCCTCGGCCAGCCTTCCCTCAAAGGACTCCTCCCTAGACCTTGTCCAGTACATTGAGAGGTGGACTGGGATCATCAATAGACTCTTCACGGATTTCCAGAGTCTCTCTGACACCGTGGATGACATCCTGGAGTTAGAGAAAATCCTGGATTCCAACAAGCCCAAGACCTCCTACAAGTCCACCCAAACTGGCCCTGCTCCCGCCTGCAAGAATACAGGTGCTCAGACTGAGTCCATCAAGCCTGCCTTCCCCGCTCCAGCTGCTGTCCCTGTGGCAGCTCCTGCTCCCAAGAAGCAGCCTCTGCCCCAGCAAAGTTGAAGCAGCCTGAAGCGCCAAACCCGCCAGCCAAGAGAACCAACACATCTATCCCGCCCAAGATTGCATCCTCCTGTGTCTCCAAGCCTGACGTGCCTAAGGTCAAACTACACGGCGAAAAATCTGCGGCGCACACTGTGGTTGTCTCGGACAACCCGCAAGCTGACCCCCGGGAAATTCTGAAGGCTATCCGCGCTGCCCACATATTTCCCCAAGGCGTCTGGGCATGCCTGCGCACCAAAGGAAATCTGGTGCTCCACTCCAGCAACCCTGACACCATCCCTGCTGTCACTTCCTCCCCGGCCAACAAGCTGAATGGCATGAAGGTCCGCCAGCAGAAGGAGATCTTTCCGCGCATCTGCCTCTTCAGGGTGGACCAAGAAACCATCAACTCCACCATTGAAGAGACCTTCCTGGCAACTCCTGCCGTCAGCCAACTCCCTGGTGACAAGGTGGTGCGTGTGGCTCACCGTTCTGCTGCAAGGAATGGGACCTGCACGGCCTTCATCGAGGTGGACCTGCAGACCTTCAGAGCTCTGGGTGTGCGCGGAAAGATAGTTGTTGATGGAGTAATCCTCAACTTCGAGGAGTCCGTCCGTGTCAGCTTCCTCTGCTGTGGCTTTGGCCACAACTCGGCTCAGTGCTTCCACTGAGGAGAAGAAGAACACGAGGGTCGTGCCTACTCCTCCCTGGGTAATCCGCGCACCTCCAAGTGCGCCAACTGCTGCGCCAAGGGCCTTCCTGAGAAACAGGAAGCAGATGAGAGCCTCTAGCTGTCCAATCCTAAGGTCTAGGGCTAAGGTTCCTACCCCCTGCCTGATCTTCTGGATGTCATCCTCCTGCCTCTCCCAGCACCTGTCACTGATCATCCCTCCACCTTCGCGGGCTCGTTGGCTTACTGATCCTTATGTCTTCCACCTTTAGAATCGCGTCTGGACATTTTAGCTAGGTTAGAAGACCATACAATAAGTTGGCCAATTTACTTTCTTCAAGTTTTTGCCGTGAAGACAGCTCTTTTACCAAGCTCCCGCCCGCCTTCCCTACCTACGCGGCGATGTCCACCGAGCGGAAGCTCCGCAGCGGACGGTCAACTAGGCCTAAGACTCCCCGAGCGCCGCGCGCCGCGGGCCCTACCGAGACCCTTCCCGCCGGCCAAGACCCTCAGCTGACTTACTCCCCTGTTCATTTGCGCGACGCAACTCTGCGCCTTACCCTGGACCCGGATAACCAAAAACCTGTGAGTTCCTCTCCATCTCGCTCTCTTTCTCCCTCTCCTTCTGAATCTGAATCTCTTTCTTCCTCCCATTCTTACCAACCCAATACTATTGTTGACGTTGAGGACTTTCCTGTGCCTACCATTTCCTTGGAGCCACCACCTAATTTTGTGGCCTTTTCTAAATGTACTAATTCTACCAATTGTTTTGATATTTTTGATTGGGCAGCCATCTCATTTAAGACTATCTCTAATTCCATTTCTGAATTTTCTGCTGAACTTGGTTCCTCAGTTCATTCTGAACTTAAGGACATTCTCCTACATCTTAGGGCCGACTATGAACGTCGTATCTCCGAATTGGATTTTTCCTCTGGACTCCTATTACAGATGGCTTCCCAATCAAAACAGCAGCATTTTGCCCACCCACATGTTGTTGATGCCACCTCAGCCACTCTTGCTGAGCCTGGTATCTCTACCATAAGTACACTTGCCACCCCTGTTGACACTTCCGCTTCTGCCGCTCCCCTTTCGTACTCTGCCATGACCTCAAGCCGTCCATCTGTGCCACCTGCTAGCTCAGTCCCCTCGGCTAGTCGGGGACCTGTCCCTACCCAACCAAAGACCACTCCTAGGTTTACTTTGACCAATAACCCGTTCCACCTCACTATCACACAGGACCTCAAGGAGGCTCAGCCTCTTAGCCTTAGGCTTTCCAATTTGTCTTCTTTCTCCGCTTTGGGGGTTCCTGGGTCCCATATAAATACTTCCAGGGATAAAATTACCATACATACCAGGTCTAAAGAGGACTTTACTAAACTGCACCGTAAACTGGTGGACCTTACCAAAAATACTAATATCAGAATTTCTACACCTCCCTCTTTCCACCATCGCTTCACCATCTTTAATGTACCTGACGTTTCCAATGAGGAGGATCTCACCACCATGTTTGTCCGGTCGGTCGATTGTCAGGATACTGACTGCCGACTCATCCGAACTATCTCAGCGCGGAACGGTCGGGTCCATGCAGTGTTTGAGACCAACAACATCGTTGCCACCGCTCTGAAGGGCAAAAAGAGAATCTATTTCGGATTCTCTTCTCTGTCCATTGACAGGACTAGGGCTACCTTCCCCTGCAGGTCCTGCGGTAGTCTCAGGCACCGGACCAATTCTTGTTCTGGCCCGGTGCGTTGCCTTCATTGTGGGCTTGCCCACAAGATTGCGGACTGTCCCACAACTGGTGCTAGCCCCAGTTGTTTCCGCTGCAAGCCGGATCATAACGGTCACAGGGCAGACTCATTTGCCTGTCCGGTCTTACAAATGGTGGAGGAGAGTTTCCATAACTTGGTTCAACACACATGTTAATATCTTTTTTGCAGTTAAATTGCAATCGTTCATTTGCATGTTTCCATTCCATTCTCCAGGAAGCTTCTTCTAAAGCCGTAGATATCCTACTGCTGCAAGAACTTCCCGTTTCAAACAACCGACTTCCGTCTGCCCACCCTATTCCACCTTCCTCTTTCTTGCATGCCCCCATTTCTAACAACAAATGTAGTGCGGCTATTGTGGTGCTGAACCAAGTTCTACCGGTTCTACTCCTCCCCAAACTGTCAACCGTGTTCTGGCGGTTGTTGACATACCGAACTTCCACTTCACCATCTGTTCGGTTTACATTCCTTGCCCGGCTAATGCTTCGAGGACAGCTGATTCTTTTACTACCCTATTTGGCTCTCCTCCTCCACCTAATCTCCTTCTTGCTGGAGATTTTAATGCTGAGTCCAACCGCTGGAGTAACCGCCACCGTGTCAAAGGTACGCACCTCAACTTCATGTTGGACTCCCTAAACCTGGCGGTGTGTAACCGTCATGGAGCCATTACCCGTGCTCAAGGATCTTCATCCTCTTCCATAGATGTCACCTGCATCACCTCCAGTCTCCTCCCTTCTGTGTCCGGGTGGGATGCGGTTGAGTGGGATCTCTCAGATCACTTTGAGATCTCATTTTCTGTTTCCACCCCGGATCTTGACGCTTCTCCTCTTTCTTCCCCTCCTCTCTTTCCTGACTTTTCCTCTTTTAATCTTAAATCTGCCCCACCTTCTAGGCTTTTCTTTTCTCTTCAATCTCTCCTTTCTCCTGAAGGTGCCCTGCAGGTGGCTCTTAACAATTGTGACTCTGCCGCTTCCATCGATTGCTTTGTTGGCACTTTTTACGAACAGTTACACATGTGTTGTTCTGCCAACCTTTCCCCCAAGGGACCACTTCCTGCTTTCCCCCCACCCAATCCCTGGTGGTCTCCTAAACTACAGTCCCTTAAAACCCTCTCCAGGAGACTGGGAAGGGAATATAAGAACTTCTTTCCTCCACTTCGTGACCGCTTGAGAGAACGTTATGTGGTAGTGCGTAACCGCTTCAACAAGGCTATTGACAGGGCTAAGACTAATTATTTTAGGAAACTCTGCAATACTTTTGAGCATAATCCTTGGGGCCCAATCTATCGCTATATTTCCCATGGCTCGGCTAAATCTGACCCTCTTTGCTCCCGACGGTTTGAGAATATTTTAATTCACCATAACATCCCTGCCTGTCTTCAGGATATGTTGGACTCTTTCTTCACTGACCCCCCTCCTGACACTAGGCCCTTTCACTTTGCTCTAAACACTAGCTCCTCCTCTCATTCTTCTCCTCCTGACCCTCCTATTACTCCTTTTGAGTACTCTTGGGCAATTAACAACCTTAATCCCAGGAAGGCACCTGGCCCTGACCAGTTACCTGGACAGTTTGCTAAGTGGCTTATTTCTTCCTTTCCCTCCTTCTTCCTACTTCTCTTTAACCGCTGTCTATCTCTTGGTCTTTTCCCTACTCTCTGGAAGACAGGCAGGCTTGTCCTGGTCCCCAAGGCGTCCTCCTCTGAAGACTTTGCCTCCCGCCACCGTCCTATCACCCTTTTACCGGTGTTAGGCAAAGTCTTTGAGGACATAATTGCTCATAGGCTTGCTCACTTTTTTGAGTCAAATAAGTTATTACACCCCCTACAGTTTGGCTTCCGAAGGTGCCGCTCCTCGATTGATGCCCTCTCATCGTTAAAATCGAGGATATCTTCGGCAGTCAAGACACATCAAGGGTGTTTCCTAATTAGTCTTGACATTAAGTCTGCCTTTGACCACCTTTGGCACCCTGCCTTCTTTGCTTGCCTTGCTGATGCTTCCTGTCCTCCTCTTCTCCAAGCGGTCTATCAATCTTTCTTTACCAATAGGTCCGTCTCCCTCTCCCATCGGGGCTATTCTCGCTCTGCATTTCCCACCCGTGGTTGCGCCCAGGGTTCCAAGAGTGGACCACATGCCTGGAACATTGTTTTCAATTCGGTCCTCTCTCTACCCTTTCCTTCGGGTGTTCATGTGCAAGCCTTCGCCGATGACTTACAGATTGTTGTCTCTGGCCCTCCCAATTCCATTGTTTCCTCAGCGCAACGGACCCTCGACTTGATCTCCGAGTGGTGTCTGGACTGGAAACTAATTCTCTCACCGGATAAATCCCGGGTCCTCCCTATCTTCAACAACCCTCCCTCTTTGAAGATTGATGGTTTAGAGCTGGAGTGCCCAGACTGCCTCAAAATCCTCGGGGTCACTTTCGATGATCGCTTGTCCTTCTCCCCTCATTTACAGAGGGTCTGTGAGAGGGCTCTATCCTTCTTCTCCCGTCTTAAGAGATGCTCCAATGCCAGATATGGCTTTGGTTTCCATGCACGTAGGAGGCTTTACCTTGGGGCTTTCGAACCAGTGATTACATATGCTGCTTCCATTTGGGAAGATGCAGCCAAAACCAGGGCTGGTCGCAGCCAGCTGAGGTCCACACAAAGAAAGTTCTGTGTCCATGCCATCCGGGGCTTCCGCACCACTCCAACCCTTGCAGCTATCGCCCTTCTTAGGGTCCTTCCTTTGGACATGAAGGTCCTTCTACTTTCTTCCCTCCTTCGTCCACCCGAGTCACTTCCCTTCCGCGCTGAGAGGAGGCCGCTGCCTTACATCTATCCCTCTCCCCCAGCCATCCCTGACCTTTCCCCCACTCCTCTTCCCTCCTTCCTTCCCGACATCAGTTATTACACCGATGGCTCTAAGACATCTTCTGGAGTTGGTTCTGGTGTTGCCCGCGTCCCTTGCCCCGGTTCTTCCTTCTCTCCTCTTTTTCTATCTCTTCCTCTCTCTCCCCACTGCTCAGTTTTTCAAGCAGAGGGCTTCGCTCTTCTCACTGCTCTCCGTGACATTGCTTCTCTTCCCTCCCATCTAACTATTGCTATATTTTCTGACTGCCTCTCTCTTCTAAATTCCCTTCCTAACCCTCATTCCAGACATCCTCTTGTTTTCAAATGCCAGAGGATTCTTCACAATCTCCTTCTTTCTAGGTCTATTTCCCTTCACTGGGTAAAGGGCCATGCGGATACGGTGGGCAACATCATTGCCGACTCCCTAGCTCGTAGGGCGGTTAACGATAGAGATACTCCACCACTTTACTCTCTAGCTTCAGCCAAAACTGCGTCTCGCTACCTCCACCGTCAGGCCTGGAGGCAGTGGAATGATGAATTTATTTCCTCAAACCCTACTATCCTTAAAACTTTTGGCCTCTCCCCTTTATCTCTCCTTACAGACCACAGTTTTGTCTTCCCTACAACTGACTACATCACTGGGTTTATCACCGGTCATACTTTCATTGCGACCTTCCGATACAAGAAAGGAGAACTTTTGTTCACCCCTTCCTGCCCCGACTGTCGAACGGGTGATGAGACTGTTTCCCACATTTTCTTCACTTGTCCACAATTGGACGACTTGAGGTCCTCCTTTTACAAAGGCTGTTTAACTGAGGTTGGGTCTATCCCTTCATCTCTAAAAGACCTGGTTAGCTCGCCCAAAGTTTGGCGTCTGGCGGTTGACTTTGCCAGCAGGTGCGGCAGGTTTATTCAATCAAATATTCCTGATTCTGATGATTCATCTAATTAATTATGCCTTGCTATGTTTGTTTTATTTTATTTTTTTGTTTTATTTTATTTTAAATTTTTTTTTCTCACTTTCACTTTGTATATAGCCTGGTCTTATTTATTTCTTCTTTTGCCTTTGTTGTTTTGCTATTTATCCTTTTCATTATTGATTTTTTCCACATTTTGTAACTTTTCTTTGTCATCATACATAATTATCTTCCTTGATCACCTTTATTTCTTGCTTTGTTTTTTATTTCAATTTTGCTTATTCTACTTAAACTTAATGTTTGTATCCTGGCATTTTATTTCTTTTCTGATTTTGGGGATCAAAAAAAAAAAACAATAAAATAAAAAAAAATTAAAAAGTAAAGAAAAAAAAAATAAAATAAAATAAAAAAAAATTAAAAAGTAAAGAAAAAAAATAAAATAAAATAAAGGAAAAAGAGACTTTGAGGAAACAAAAGAGGATTTTTTCCCAAAAAAAAAAATAGGATAAAGAATGAAAAAAAAAAATAAAATAAAAATAATAATAATAATAAATTATGATTTCCTCTGATCCCCCAATTTACCGTCACTCAACCTCTTGCATATAGTTTTCTCTAATGTTGCTTTAATTTGTGTGCTTTCTCTTTTTATCTCTTTATCTCTTGTTTTTTACCACTTGTGCTTTAATACTTTTTAAAATTATCATTTTTTACTTTTTTTTTGTACCTTTCCATAAAAAGTTTTGAATTGTCCTTGACCCTTTCGACCATTGACTTCTCTCTAACCTGCCTGAATATGTTTTTACAAAAAAATGTTTGGTCCTGAAAATGCCCTTTTGGGAGGGGGCTGTTTGTGTACTTGAACTTCCTTACTTCCTTCTTTGACTATTGCTTCTCTCTCTCTCTTTTACTCTGTGTCTCTTGCAGCTTTCTGCGCCTTGCGACCCTTGCTGTCTGTTCCTTACAGCGGGCGGCTTGTTGTTTGTCCTTTTTTTTTTTTTTGTTTTTATCCGAAAAAGTCCCCCTGGGACTTACAGCGGACGAGGATAATTTCTATGACTTCACTCGGGTTACTTGTTAAAAATAGATAATTTATAATTGTATGCTTTATAGATTTTCCCCTATTATTATTATGTATATATATTTTTATTTTATTTTTGTTGCCTCTTTCTCTTAATGGGTGGAAAGGAATAAAGAATGGAAAGAGCAAGATTTGTAAACAAACAAGACATCGCCCCCCCCATCCCATGCGCGAGCACCTATGCGCGGTGACGGGGAGAAAAAAGAAGAAAAGGACAACCGGCAGCGCTGGTGTATAGGCTCGGGGAAATATGAGCTCCCGGGAAATATGAGCTCCCGCCAAATATGAGCTCCCGCCTCAGAAGGAATGAGTAACCACGTGTGAATGAAAGAAGATAACGAGAAGACAGAGTTGATATAGAATTGCGCACCAATTAAGTGGGTTGCGATATAATTTCCTGTTAAGGAACAGAAGAATTAATCTGGAAAATTATCTCAAGTGTGAAGAATTATTTCAAGTGAATTCACGATCAAATTTATCGACAGAATTGAAAACAAGATTTGTTTTTTATAAAACGGAAGCTTAGATAAGTATTTGCAAACTTTGTTTGAAAAAGATTTTGCCTTTCCACCCCTAGTTATTTTGCTCTCTACATTATTTGTTTGTATGTATATTTAACTTGTATCACTTGTTTTGTTTATTCTAATTTTAAATATATCTAACCTTTTGGCCAATTTGATTATCACCCTTTTTATCTGTTTATTTATTTTTATTGCCCAGTCATTGTTGATAAGCAAAATAAAATATATCTTTAGGCCATTTTTGTTAAATTTTATTTCTACAACTTGTGCAAACACAACTGGTGAATCTCTATTTTCAATCTGGGTAAGATTGACCTTCCCCACATTTATTTTTTTTTTTTCAAATTCAACATTTTTGGTGAGCCGGACGTGATTTCACCTTGTGGTGTTTATACAATTTGTGGAGATGGATAAGCTTAAAAGAGAAAGAACTCCCTTAAGGAATACTATAACTCGTACCACAAATGAAATAAAATCAGGTCTAAGTCTAAAGGAAGTGGATATAATTTTAATAAGGGCCAAATTCGAAAGGTTAACCATTCTTAATGATAGACTGATATTAATTGATGATAAAATAAAAGAGATCTTATTGGATGATCCGAGGTCCACAGAAGCTCAAATCAATGATGAGATGGAACTATGTGAGACTTATAGCCTACAAGTAGGAATTGTCGCACAGAAGGTGAAAGAATATGAGTCTAAATTGGCAGCACCCTGTGATGATAAAATGTCACAATTTAGCACTTCAGATGTTAAAAGACAAATTAAACTTCCAAAATTTGAACTAAAAAAGTATACAGGTGAGCTAGAGGAATGGCTATCATGGTGGAGTCATTTTGAAAAAATACATTTAGATGAGTCACTGTCTGATGTTGATAAATTTGAATACTTAATACAATCCATGGTTGTTGGGTCAAAGGCCCACAGACTTGTGACTAGCTTCCCTCTTACCCAAAAGAATTACAACAAAGTCATTGGAGATTTAAAAGATAGGTTTGGAGACAGAGATATGCTGACTGAGTTGTATGTGCGCAAGCTTTTAAAGTTAGTCATTGCCAGTGCCAGGTCTGAAAAAAGAACCTTGGCTCAACTTTATGATGATTTGGTTGCACATCTCCATTCTTTGGGATCTCTGGGAGTGGATACTAAGTCTGGGGGTGGTGCTTTCTTGTACCCGTTGGTGGAGTCAAGTTTGCCACTTGAACTTATCAAAATATGGCAACGTTCCCGTACACCGTACATTGAAGCGGGAATTGAAAATAGTGGGGCTAAAGCTTTTGATAAATTAGAGGGTCTGATAGAATTTTTAAAGCAGGAAGTTAAAAATGCAGAACGCATTTCCTTTGTTGCTGAAGGATTTGAACCTTCCCTTCCTCTAAAACAGGGAAAGAGAGAAAATAATCCCCCTAAGATCCACACAGCGTCTGCATTATTTGTTGGTAAGACCAACTTACCGTGTTTATTTTGTGACAAAGATAACCATCTTAGCCAAAACTGTTTTAAGGCAGCCAAGATGTTGGAATCAGACAGATTAAAGAGGGTGCAGGATGCGAAAGTTTGCTTTAAATGCTTGAGAAAGAATCATTTGAAGAAGGATTGTCGATCTTTTGTAAGATGCAAGCGTTGCCAAGGACCTCATTTTGAGATAATGTGCAGAGGAGCCTCACATAGTCAGGAAAATTTAAATTGGAGGTCAGATAACAGATCTCACAATAGTTTAGCAGAGCAGAATGAGGGGAACAGTGAGCCTGTAACAGCAATGGCGAATCAAGTATGCACAAATAATATCTCTTTAATGACTCTCATTGTAAAACTTAAAGGGCCGAAACGTTCCAAAATGGTAAGAGTGCTTTTAGACTCTGGTAGTCAAAAATCTTACATCAGAAGGTCTCTAGCTAAGGAGTTAGACTTACCCAAGGTGGGAGAAGTCAAATTGAATAAATATTTGTTTGGAGGGCAAACCACAGGAGAAAAGGCTCATTCAATATTTTATTTCCAGTTGGACAATGTTGATGAGGGAAAGGCTTTCAAAATGGAAGCGTTAGAGGAAACAATAATTTGTGGCAATATTTCACCCGTTGAAACAGGACCCAGGCAATGGGAATTGGATAAGAAAGGAATCACTTTGACTAAGGTAGTCAATAATAAAACCGAAATAGACATCCTAATCGGTGGAGACTATTATGGGCAACTTCTCACAGGAAAAATTGAACAGCTGGCAGGAGGATTGACCGCAATTCAAACAGTTCTTGGTTGGACTTTAATAGGTAATACCTCATCAGAGAGACCAGAGACAAGTGCTCAAATGGTTATCACCTTACTTACAACCCAACAGAGAGTAGCGTCCTTATGGGAATTAGAAACAATAGGGATACGAGATCCTACAGAGGTCATCTCTGTGAAAGAGAAAAATGTTCTCATGCAAGAAAAGTTTCGTGAGAAAATCTGTCGAGGCCATGATGGACGTTATCTTGTATCTCTTCCATGGAAGGAAGGAATTGGGACGATACCTAATAACTTGGAAATAGCCAAAAGGCGCTTGGAGGCTATGACTCAAAAGTTGACACAAAAGGGTCAGTTTGTTCCTTATGATGAAGTCTTCCGATCCTGGTTCAGGGAAAACCTTATTAAAGAAGTTGACAGGGAAGACATCAGACCTACTGGACATTATCTACCACATCGCCCAATATATAAGGTTCAGAGTC